GGGTGTGGGGTGTGGCTGTCAGCTGTGCTTGATTTCAGGGATAATTCCCAGTCCTTTAGGAAACTGGGATTCACTTCACCCAACCAGCAAGCTCTCCTATGCCCACTGCAAATGGGGAAAACCCACTCTCCTGGGTTTACTGTGGATTTACCCCACCACGGTGGAAAGCAAAACACACCAAAGGCCGCCAAGCGATGACCAATGTTTTCTTGGTACAGGGAACAGCGTTTAATCCACAGCAACCAAAGGAAAACCACTCTTTTTGGTGATTCAGGACTCCCTCTTGTGTCCAAAGGATGGCTCCAATGTCTCAGGGTGATGAAGTCTTGCCTCCAGCTAGTTCATATGGGCATTAGTTAGCAAAATAGAAAATACTATGAATGCAGCTGTGTTAGGTCTCATCTCTTCTAAAAATCCCTTCTCCCTTGAATAGAAATCATGTTGCATGCAAAAAAACCTGCTGTCCCTTTGTAGCACCTAGCCACAGCGGTCTTAACCAGTGACCCGGGGCGGTGTCAGCACGAAGTGAGGGCACAGGTAAGTGCAGAGCCATGTCCCCACACTACATCCTCCCAGGTTTTGCAGTCTTCCAAAAGATTAACTTGCTGCAAGCCTGCTGTGAGCTGCGGTCCTGTGGGTGCTCGCTGACCTTGATTTACCCAGGCTTCTGCTGGGCTCTGCCTCCTCCCCGCATGGGGATGGCAGGCACGGTTAGGTACGGCACGGTAGCTCGGGCTCCAGCTGCATCCCAAGGTGCCATTGCACTTAGTCAATCCGAGGTACCAAGGAAAATAGTAAAAAAGGTAAAAAAGAAAATAGTTGCATTTAAGGAATTGATTTTTGAAGTATGTTAGTCTTCAGAATTGGAAGATATTAATAATTTGGTTGCCTTGAACATAGAAAAGACAGAAAAAGCTGCAAAGGGTAGTGGTTATTTTGTTAAAGGGCATTGGAGCCTGTCCTTAGGTGAGGGCACAGGCTGGGATGGGGGACCTGTTGTCCCCCACCACCGAACCATCACCCAAACCCTCCCGGGCACTCCCACGGAGACCCCCCCAATGAAGTGCTGCCCCGAGGTGAACCCCTGCCCTGGGCTGCTTCCCCCGCCCCAGGATTCCCTGTGGAGCAATGGGTGCTGGCCCCGGGCGCTGCCAGGCACCGCGGCAGAGGGCGAGGAATTGTGCCTGGCCCCCTCCCTCCATCCCGGGAGGCAACGGCTCTGAGTCATCCCCCTGAAAACAGCCCCTGGGATGCGTCAGAATATATCTAGGGCTGATGCACAGCGGGAGCTCGAGCTCTAATGTTGCCTTCAAAGGGTCGCAGCCATGCTCCCAGAGCAGCTGGGATAAAATCCAGGTCGGGATGTGGAAGAAGGGTCTCTGTCTGCTTAGAGAGGGGAAATCTGGGCCGCTGCCACTGTGCACACTGACATGGGAAAGCCACGCTTCTGCTTATGCCCTACGCGAACGGAGAGTTGCAAAACATAGTCATGCCTGGAGGGGAAGGATGGAATCCATCTGGCAGCAAGAGATGATGTTCCTCCCAGGGAGGGAGGCACAGGTGAAGGGCGTCATGCCAACCTCTGCCTCCCTGCTTGCTGCTCAGAGCCAAAGCTTCCAGCATCCCCTTGCTCTCTGGAGCTGTTTGCTTATAAAAGAGCTGGGAATTGGGGTTTTGTAGAGAAACCCAGAGCCTCTGCTGTGCAAAGTGCAGGGGGAGGCTGCTGCGGCAGATATGGGGATGTCTCGGGAAAAACCATCTGTTCCTGCTGCTTCTCTTGCCGCCCTGTGCGAGACCCAGGGCAGAGACGGAGTGCAGCTATCTATAGCCTGAGGGGGGCTGCCGACACAAATGCCTTTAATCCGGGCGCATGGCTGGCTTGGCGACTCACCGGCTGTCGCTGCGGTTAGGTACGGCGTGTTAGCTCGGGCTTCAGCTGCATCCTGATGTGCCATTGCACTTGTCAGTCAATCTGAGTACCAAGGCAAGCACTTTTTTCTCCAAAATCTCAGTTCAGGTTTTCCTTTACAGGCAGTTGCAACCTACTGCAAAACAAGCTGAGGCATCCTTCAACACAAATACAAGGAAATAAAAAGCAGAAGCCCAACTAAGTTTCAACTTTATTTGAGGTCAGAGGTGTTTGCAGGGCTCCTTAGGCAGTCTGCCATGGCTCCGAACTGCAAAAAAATGCTCCAGCATCCCCTCTCCCTGCACAGGGCACCCCTCAAAGCCCTTTAAGTACTGCAGCTTCTTCCCCAAGGAATATGTATCACAGGCTAAATGGTCACCTGGAGCCAAATTTCCTCAGTTAAAACAAGTTTCCTTCAAGAAAAGCACGCTGACATCCCATGGGAAAAAAGATTCTGAGATTTTTACTGCCAACTAAAGCTTTCTTGGATGGTTTTAGCTGACCGAGCCCCCTTCCCCAGCCATGTCACTCCTGTTGATGCATCTTCTCCGGGAGCCAGGACAGGGCTGTCACACCACATGCCACCTCGGCGCCTGCAGGCAGAAACTGCTTTAGGAAGAGGAGAAGGGTACCTATCAAAACCAACAGACGTGCAAGCGCTGCAAATTGTTATTTAATTAAGGACGAGACATTCAGAGGAAGCTTAATTAAAGCTGCTCTCTGAAATCACTTATTATCTCATCAAGACGCTGAGCTCAGCAGCAGCTCCTGCTGGTACCGGGACAGGGCTAGAAAATCCCTCTTGGGCTGCCTTTACTATACGTGCTTTCTCCTTACACAATATCATCCTTCCGCTAAGTCCTGACCGAGGGAAAGCATTTTGCAGTGGAAATAAAATCAAAATGTGTTTATCCAGCTGCATTTGCAGAGGTGTGTTTGCTTATCTGCTGCCCTGGGCCTGGTTGCATCTGCCGGACACCGGTGTTAGACCTGTAGCGTTACTCCCCCTGTACCGCAGCTCCCTTCTGCCAAATACTTTCCATCCAGGTGACTTTGAAATCCACATGTGCACCCAGGGCATTTAGCACTTCTGCTATTATTAATGACGCTACACTGGAGCTAATTGCATCCTTCCTTAGGTAGCATAAGCAAGGACAGAGAGAGGGCACCTTTGTTTTGTTGGAAGGCGTTTTTTTACCAAAACCTCCTATGATTGCTCCTCAGGGCAACTCGGATTCATAGGGAAGAGGCCAAGGAGGATTCGCTCACCATCCTTCAGGGTTTTCCACTTCTATTACAAATTCCAGGCCGGCTCACTTTAGAGCGCACAGATTTTAAAGTCTTCCCTGTGCTCAGTGGGACAGCGCGTCGAGGTAAGCAAAGTTCCTAACGCCAGTGAAGTCACCCCAGACTGCACCCTGAGTTCACTCTGGGTTCATCCCTGAGGCCCTGGGCCGTGTCCATGCAGGTCTGGCCCATCAGCCCGGCTCCTCGGCTGTTTTTTGAGGTGGCACCAGGCACATTGGTTACAGCATCTCTGCAGCAGCACCTCTGCCCACCACAACAGTGTCCAAGCCTTCAGCAGCACATGGTGCCCACCGATCTCCACCAAGAACCGTGTGCAGCTGGGGGAAGTGCCGCTTTGCACTGCTGCCAGCGCCGCTTCCAGATCCAGGTGCTCACGGGCGCAGCAGCACAGCCCCACCACTATCAGGGAGAGCAGCCCTCTGCAGACGGGGACTGGCTTTTCTCTCTGCAGTTCACTCTCAAATGCCCAGTGCTAGTATCCACCTGTATTGCACCTTCCTCTGTTGCCATATCTGCACTGTGCATGTTATGGACACCAGTCTGTAGCTGCCTTCAGCCACCTTGGACAGGCCTTAACGTCTTTGCGCCGCCTGCATTGCAGTGCACTGCACAGCCTAGGGCTCTCCAGCGCTACTCTGTACAGCATAGCATTGCACATACACTACATTGCAGAGCACAGCACCGTGTTGCACTGCCCAGCACCGCAGAGCGCCGCACGGCGCTGCAGAGTTGCGCTGCCTCCCACGGCGCCTCACAGCAGCGCACTACGCGAACCCGCCTGGGAGAGGCAGCACGCATGCGCGCCCCGA